AGAAGTATTAGACATGTGCCTAATAAAAGTTTTCTTTGGTTTGGTAGCCAACCTTGTTGACTTTGTTTGGTTGGTAGCCAACCTTATTGAATTAGTTTGGTTTGGTAGCCAACTTTGTTGAATTGTGAAAAGTGTGTGTAAATTGTCAAANAGGGGTTTATTCCCAACATGAAATAATATTGCCTTATCATTAATTTCGTTCCCCAGCCCCCTTCTTATATATTCTAATAACTTCCATCCCTAAAAGATTTACACTGACAATAATGGTGGAAATATTATACAATTTTAAAACATAATTAGTCCTCATCAGTTACAGGTGTAAACAAACCCGATATTTCCTAAATTTGTTGCTGATCATGATCAAGGTTGATTATGATAATTTTTGCCTGCCCATTTTTTATTTTTTATTTTATACTGTAAAATAAGTCTCTTTTTTTTTTTTTTTTAAAAAGATTTTTCTTTTTGGTGGATGGAGGAAGCTGGTGTATCTTTAAGAGAAATAGAAGGTAGTAACCTGTACAACACCAAGGTATAGTCTATCAGTAAGTTACGCTATTCAACTCTCAAGTTATATTCTATCATATGATCAGGACTGAAAAAAACTACTAATTAAGATTGCAAAAATAATAAGTAAATGAAAAGAACAAGTGATAAGTCGACCAAGTACCAAGAATAACTTGACAATCACTAGCCATAATTAGCAGTGATCCCGTTTAATTTATTGTTGTTGTTTTCTCCTCTTTCTTTTTTAGTTTAGAGATAGAATCACAATGTACGAAATTCTACTGCTAGGCGCTAGCTGTATTTGCAACTTGGGTAATATATTTTCTAGTGTCTCACAAGTTGGTGTATGAAAATTATTCTATGTTGCCTTTGTTCTTTACTTATGTTCCATTCATTGAACTAAAGAAGATATATATATTTTTTTTAATTCTTTTAATAAGTATCAACGTACACCTCCTGATTTAACTCGTATTCAGGGGCGGAGCTAGGGGTGAAAGCAGTGACATATACAGAATTTAACATAAACGATATCATAATTTAAAAAAATAGAAAAATAAACATAAATCAGTAAAATGACAAGTAGTGTCATTTTCTATACGTATTCCCAATATTTTCAATTTTCTTCTACATGTCTAGTAAAAAAATTCGACCAAGCGGCGTCCCATGACATCGTAATATATAAGGTGCATACACCCTTAAGTAGAAGATTAAGTTATATATGTATATATATATATGTATGTATGTATGTATGTATATATATATATATATATATATATTAAATGTTAAATTCTCTCGGTTTTGCTTCTACGTGTTTTTTTTAAATTCATTAAGTGAAAATCCTGCGCCACTGCTCGTATCTTGCATAAGCAATTATAAAGAACTTATCGCTGCGAGGATGGCTCAGTTAGTTTGGAGGGTGGTCATCCATATGCCACTGCTCGTATCTTGCATAAGCAATTATCAAGAACTTATCACTTCGGGGATGACCCAGTTAGTTTGGAGGGCGGTCATCCGATCCATACAAATGACATCGATCCCCCTTCAATGCCTTCTGGGTCAAGCCGCAGTTTACATCCCTTATGTTGTTTGCAAGCTATTACACAATGTGGAGTTTATCCAGTGCGCACAGAGTGCTCACTTGAAGGGCAGAGGATGTAGCTGCTGCGGGTTTTTCTTCAAAAAAATTATCAAGAACTTGTAATATGATTAAATCATTTAAATAAAAGGGCAACAATAAAGAAAAGAGAAGAAAATTATAAATGTAGTAACCATTTTCTCACATTTACAACCATGAACAAAATAAGAATGAAGAAAAAAAAGTACAAACACTATCCCTGCATTTATTCCTTTATGTCTCACTTCTCTTTCCGCCCATCCCTCAATAAACTTTATTTCTCAAATAATAAATAAATAATGAAAATGAAATAAACTTGTACCACAAAAACTATACCCCTTACGGACCAAAAGTAAAAAAGAAAAATGAAAATATGTAAAACCCCAAATGTGTAAATTACATGCCTTTGCATTTCCAGATGATATTTTCACTGCAGCCACCGTCTTCTCTCGCCAACAGCAATTTCTAAATACGCCAAATTTCTGCAAAATCTGTTGACCCACTTACCATTCCCAATGCACAGTCACTTGCCAACATTTTTTAACTCCATAATACTACTGCTGCTTTTCTCTCTCTCTCTCTCTATATTTGTTATCCTTTCTTGTTTTCGTAATTATTCAAACTGCAGTAGTAGCAGCAGTGGCCGTGGCAGCCGCCATTGATGATGGTTGTTTGTTTGTCACTATCTCATAAGCATTTCCTTCATCTTCATCATCGTCGTAATCATCTTCTTCCATGCTGTCGCTTTCATTATCGTGATCTTGAATAATATTACTCATGATTCCTTGTTGTTGTTGTTGTTGCTGCTGCTGTGGTTGATTTGAAGGAAATGGCCATTGTTGCTCCGGCTCAGCCATAATGGGAACCATTGGGTTATTGTTTTCGGGTTTTAATCCAAACCCGGTGCCAGTATTTGGTACAACTTCGTTCTTGGCTTTTTCCTTGTACAATGCCTCCAGCTGGTGGAAATATGGGCATGTTTTGGAATCTTCTGGTCTTTTCTTGTTGCTTTCCTTAACCTTCTTGAAGTACTTGTTGATGTTCTCCCATTTCTCTTTGCATCTCTTGGCATTTCTGTTGTATCCAAGTTTTCGCATACCAGCTGAAATTTCCTCCCACAGTGGCCCTTTTGGTCCATTATCTTGGTACTTCAGATCTAGGCTAGTCCGAAGCCTAATCAAAGCTTCAATTTCTTCTTTTGGCCATCTTGAAGAGCTTGCTGGACTCAAATTCTCGCCACCATTATCAGTTTTTGGCGCTTCAAAGGGTAATGACGGTGCTTGTGTTTGTACTTGGGCATGTATTGCCATCGGTAGTGATACCGCAGTAGCTGGTGCTGGTGTTGTCGCTGGTGCTGGTATTGTTGTTGGTGGTGCTGGTGGTTGTTGTGTTTGTTTTTGTGGCTGGGAATGTGGTGGCACACTCGGGGACTTTTCGGACAATTGAAACTGTATTTGAGCTAGAGAAGCATTAGTAATATTCGGGATTGGTGTGTTTTTCTGTTCGGTAATTTTTTGCAAGAAGGCAATGATGGTTGCATCTTTGGCGGCTGCCATTGATCTTTCTTGGACTAAAAGATCATGTTCGCGATTCATTCTGGTCATCTCTTGTACTCTCCAAGTCTCCTCTCTGACCATCCTTTCCCTCTCCCGCTTCTCAAGTGTTTCCAAGAAGTTGTTTTGCAATTCCTCTTGCTTTTCAATGACATCCTTCGTCAACCTCTCGAAGAAATCCTTCCATTTCCTCTTCTTCCCGTGCCGCTTTTGTATATCCTCATCTGACGAAGTTGATGAAGAAGATGTCGAATTTGACAGCAAGCTGCTGGTGTTACCTTGAGGCCGATTTATCTGGTTCACTGTTGTAATTATCGGCTGTGTTGGTGGCAGCGAGGACGCGTTCAAGGGATGATTAACAGTGGGTGCTGCTGCGTTATTCTGAGATACAGTGAATGTGTTTTGTGACATTGGAATTGGAGGATTTGCAGAAGAATTTGGTCGTCGCACTGGCATTGGCATTGCCATTGTTAATGGAGTAGCTGCCAATGGAGGTGGTGGTGGTGGTAAACAAGTGTGAGATGGAGTGTTTTCGAAAGCGGCTAACTGATCAAAGAAGCGATAAGTTTTGCCATCTGCTTTAGAAGCACGACCATCTTTAGTTCTCCTGTGATACTTGTAAACATTCTCGAATTTCTCTTTACATTTCTTGCCACTTCTATGATAACCAAGGTCAGCCAATTTCCTGCAGATATATAACAATCAAAACAATTGGAATAATTAAACAATGATACAAATCTAATTAACACCTCATCTTAATAAAACAACATCTCATACTTGTATTTACCACATAAAATAAACATAAAGATTAAGAAATCATTAATCAATACTAAGGTAATTAATTAATTAAGATGTAACAAACGAGAAATTATAAGAAATGAAAGATCCCATATATATAGCTGGAAAGAATCCATTTAAAACACTAGGAGAAAGAAAATGAATACAGTCATCTTCCAAGATCTATATATGAAATACTAGAATTCTTTTCTATCATTGCTGAATTTTGAAGAAAAGAGAGAAACACAAAAGAACTGGAATTCCAATCATGCTAAATTTGATGCAAAAATTGGCAGGAAAATGCATAACAACAAAACTGAATAACCAAAAAAACTGGACACTGAATTCCCCAAAAACTACTGAATTCCTGATAAATAACTGAAAACAATGACACTTTACATCAAAAAGCAATACTTCAATGGATCTCTTTTAGTTTCCCAAAAAAATAAATCTTTAATTTTATTTTTTCCAATAAAGATTCTGTTACTGTGAATCTGATGCATGATAATGATAAGGAGTTAATAACAAAATAAAAATGAAGAACCTGGAGACTTCTTCCCACAAGGGTCCTTTTAGACTTGAATCCCTGAAAACAACATCCATCTCCGACCTAATTCTCAGTAAAGCTAAAGTTTCTTGTCTTGGCCATCGGTTTCCACCTGAATTTCTTTCTCCTTCTTCACTAAAGCCACCTGCAGCTGCCACATCACCACCACCGCCACCTTCACTACTTCCGCCACTTTCCGGAGCTTCTTGTGGTGGTGGTGGTGGTGGTGGTGCTGAAATACTGGCCGCACCTCCACCACCTGCTGAAGTAGTAGTCATTAGACCACCAAGCATCTTTCTTTCTTTTCTGAAAGAACTAAAAAAAAAGGAAAAAAGAGGAGTCACCTCTCTTCTCTATTACAGCTGAAATTATAATAAAAATATATCAGCAACAAAAAAAAGATGGTGAATTCTGTGGGTTTTATGAAGATGGGGTGTGGTGAATTTGTTAGTAATTTATTTCGGTGGGATCTGTCTGTCAATCTCACACCCCTTAAA